CGCCGCCCCCTCTCCCCCTCAGCGCCGCACAGATCAAGCAGGAGCCGTCAGAGGAGTACGAGCCACCTGAGAGCCCTGTGCCCCCTGCTCGCAGCCCCTCGCCGCCCCCCAAGGTGGTGGATGTCCCCAGCCATGCCAGCCAGTCAGCCAGGTGAGGAGATGCTGTCAGGAGGGGGGTTGTCCCCAGGCTGGGGAGGTGTTCATGAGGCAGGGAAGGGGAGGTCACCATGAGCGTGTGCTGCAGATGCCACCTTTTGTGTTTTTCGTGATGCTTTTTCCTTTCCTACAGTGTCAGGCTCAGCTGTGCCTGCCCTGGTCCCTCTCCCCATCCTTGGTCCCTCTCCCCATCCCTGTCCCTCTCCCTATCCCTGTCCCTTTCCCCATCCCCTTCTGCGCTGACAGTCTTTGCCTCTCGCCCTCAGGTTCAACAAACACCTGGACCGTGGCTTCAACTCCTGCTCCCGCACGGACCTGTACTTCGTGCCCCTCGACGGCTCCAAGCTGGCCAAGAAGAGGGCGGATCTGGTGGAGAAAGTGCGGCGGGAGGCCGAGCAGAAGGCGAGGGAAGAGAAGGAGCGGGAACGGGAGCGGGAGCGGGAGAAGGAGCGGGAGCGAGAGAAGGAGCGAGAGCTGGAGAGGAGCGTGGTAGGTTCTGGGGGGGGGTCCCACTGCCGCAGCGCAGCCAGGATGGATGCTCAAGGACCCCCTTGTCCTCTCCCTGCCAGCACCCTGACGCTGGTGTCTCTGCTCTCTTGCAGAAGATGGCCCAGGAGGGCCGGCCGGTGGAGTGCTCGTCGCTCGGGCCAGTTCCCCACCGCCCCTCCTTTGAGCAGGGCAGTGCTGTAGCGACTGTTCCCCCCTACCTGGGCCCCGACACCCCGGCCCTGCGCACCCTCAGCGAATACGCAAGGCCCCACGTCATGTCCCCCAGCAACCGCAACCACCCTTTCTACGTGCCGCTGGGCGCTGTCGACCCGGGCTTGCTGGGGTACAACGTGCCGGCCATCTACAGCAGCGATCCAGCCACGCGGGAGCGAGAGCTGAGGGAGCGGGAAGCCCGTGAACGAGACCTGAGGGACCGGGACCTACGTGAACGTCTCAAGCCCGGCTTTGAAGTCAAGCCAGCCGAGTTGGAGCAGCTCCACGCCGTGCCAGCTGCTGCCATGGATCCCTTCCCACGCCACGGCGGGCTGAGTCTGCAAACGGCCCCCGGCCTTCATCCCGCTTTTCCCTTCCACCCAGGGCTGGGCCACTTGGAGCGGGAGAGGCTGGCGCTGGCAGCCGGCCCGACCCTTCGTCCCGACATGTCCTACGCCGAGCGCTTGGCGGCCGAGCGCCAGCACGCCGAGCGGGTGGCTGCTCTCAGCAATGACCCTCTGGCCCGGCTGCAGATGCTCAATGTGACACCTCATCATCATCAGCATTCCCACATCCACTCCCACCTCCATCTCCACCAGCAGGATGCCATACATGCAGGTAAGGACCCCGTGGTGGTGGTGCCCTGCACAAAGCCCTGCTCTCCTCCCTACTGCACCCTTCTTGCCTTCCCTCCCTCTGGCCTTGGGGAAGCTCAGAAGCTGCCAAGACTAGACTTTTGAGGCCTCAGAATCCACCCCGTTAGCCAGAAGTGGTCAACATCATGGCCATTCAGCTTTGGCCTTGCTCCCATCCCAACAAAACCACTGACGTCTGTTGGAAGTATTGGGGTGTCTGTGAGTTTGCTGCTTAGTGGCGAGCAGAGTTGTCCTTTAGTTCTGGATCTCTGGGGACACAATACGAGTGCTGGGGTCCCACCAGGGTGACTCTGGACTGCATCCCTCACACTGTGGCCTACAGAGGGAGTGGGAGCCTTGAAAAGTTTTGACAGTATCCTTACGGCAGATGAAATGTTGGTTCTCTAGTTTGCTCCTTGCTACAGATGATGGGATGGGATGGGATGGGATGGGAGATGGGCTAATTTTAAGGAACTGGAGGATCAGGTGGTGGTCCCTTATATTTCCACATCCTACCAGAAAGCAAAGTTATAAGATGCTTAGGGATGAAGATCTTGGAGAAGCAAAGCCCAAACTACAGTACAGTAGGAGAAAGTGCTGTGCCCGCTCAGGTGCTGTGAGCGGTCAGTGGGGGTCTCCTGGCAGTCACAGATAGACACTCTTAAACAGCTGAAACTACTCAGAGGTGGCATCGAGTACAAATTGAATGTCCATTCCCCTAAGGCTCCGTAGCTGGAGCCCCTCGCCGCCCCCCAAGGTGGTGGATGTCCCCAGCCATGCCAGCCAGTCAGCCAGGTGAGGAGATGCTGTCGGGAGAGGGGTTGTCCTAAGGCTGGGGAAGTGTTCATGAGGCAGGGAAGGGGAGGTCACCATGAGCGTGTGCTGCGGATGCGCGCTTTTGTGTTTTTTGTGATGCATTTTCCTTTCCTACAGTGTCAGGCTCAGCTGTGCCTGCCCTGGTCCCTCTCCCCATCTCCCCATCCCTGGTCCCTCTCCCCATCCCTGGTCCCTCTCCCCATCCCTGTCCCTCTCTCCATCCCCATCCCTCTCCCCATCCCTGTCCCTTTCCCCATCCCCTTCTGTGCTGACAGCCTTTGCCTCTCGCCCCCAGGTTCAACAAGCACCTGGACCGTGGCTTCAACTCCTGCTCCCGCACGGACCTGTACTTCGTGCCCCTCGACGGCTCCAAGCTGGCCAAGAAGAGGGCGGACCTGGTGGAGAAAGTGCGGCGGGAGGCCGAGCAGAAGGCGAGGGAAGAGAAGGAGCGGGAACGGGAGCGGGAGCGGGAGAAGGAGCGGGAGCGAGAGAAGGAGCGAGAGCTGGAGAGGAGCGTGGTAGGTTCTGGGGGGGGGTCCCACTGCCGCAGCGCAGCCAGGATGGATGCTCAAGGACCCCCTTGTCCTCTCCCTGCCGGCACCCTGACGCTGGTGTCTCTGCTCTCTTGCAGAAGATGGCCCAGGAGGGCCGGCCGGTGGAGTGCTCGTCGCTCGGGCCAGTTCCCCACCGCCCCTCCTTTGAGCAGGGCAGTGCTGTAGCGACTGTTCCCCCCTACCTGGGCCCCGACACCCCGGCCCTGCGCACCCTCAGCGAATACGCAAGGCCCCACGTCATGTCCCCCAGCAACCGCAACCACCCTTTCTACGTGCCGCTGGGCGCTGTCGACCCGGGCTTGCTGGGGTACAACGTGCCGGCCATCTACAGCAGCGATCCAGCCACGCGGGAGCGAGAGCTGAGGGAGCGGGAAGCCCGTGAACGAGACCTGAGGGACCGGGACCTACGTGAACGTCTCAAGCCCGGCTTTGAAGTCAAGCCAGCCGAGTTGGAGCAGCTCCACGCCGTGCCAGCTGCTGCCATGGATCCCTTCCCACGCCACGGCGGGCTGAGTCTGCAAACGGCCCCCGGCCTTCATCCCGCTTTTCCCTTCCACCCAGGGCTGGGCCACTTGGAGCGGGAGAGGCTGGCGCTGGCAGCCGGCCCGACCCTTCGTCCCGACATGTCCTACGCCGAGCGCTTGGCGGCCGAGCGCCAGCACGCCGAGCGGGTGGCTGCTCTCAGCAATGACCCTCTGGCCCGGCTGCAGATGCTCAATGTGACACCTCATCATCATCAGCATTCCCACATCCACTCCCACCTCCATCTCCACCAGCAGGATGCCATACATGCAGGTAAGGACCCCGTGGTGGTGGTGCCCTGCACAAAGCCCTGCTCTCCTCCCTACTGCACCCTTCTTGCCTTCCCTCCCTCTGGCCTTGGGGAAGCTCAGAAGCTGCCAAGACTAGACTTTTGAGGCCTCAGAATCCACCCCGTTAGCCAGAAGTGGTCAACATCATGGCCATTCAGCTTTGGCCTTGCTCCCATCCCAACAAAACCACTGACGTCTGTTGGAAGTATTGGGGTGTCTGTGAGTTTGCTGCTTAGTGGCGAGCAGAGTTGTCCTTTAGTTCTGGATCTCTGGGGACACAATACGAGTGCTGGGGTCCCACCAGGGTGACTCTGGACTGCATCCCTCACACTGTGGCCTACAGAGGGAGTGGGAGCCTTGAAAAGTTTTGACAGTATCCTTACGGCAGATGAAATGTTGGTTCTCTAGTTTGCTCCTTGCTACAGATGATGGGATGGGATGGGATGGGATGGGAGATGGGCTAATTTTAAGGAACTGGAGGATCAGGTGGTGGTCCCTTATATTTCCACATCCTACCAGAAAGCAAAGTTATAAGATGCTTAGGGATGAAGATCTTGGAGAAGCAAAGCCCAAACTACAGTACAGTAGGAGAAAGTGCTGTGCCCGCTCAGGTGCTGTGAGCGGTCAGTGGGGGTCTCCTGGCAGTCACAGATAGACACTCTTAAACAGCTGAAACTACTCAGAGGTGGCATCGAGTACAAATTGAATGTCCATTCCCCTAAGGCTCCGTAGCTGGGCACCTCTGTCAGTGAGTCTAAAAAAAAAAGCGCTGGAAAAAGCAGTTTTGATATAAATAGTACCTTGCATTTCGGTCGTGAATGGTACTTGGCAACTTGAGTGCCTGGATGAGACCTGGAAATGGAAGCACCCAATACGAGTACGCACAGGAAGGACAGCTGGGGTGACAGACGGGCACAATACTGTGTACAGACATGATTGCAGAGCAGGTCCTTCAGAACTGACTTTAAGGAGCAGTAGTACTTCTCCCTGAGGAGTGTAGGGACAGAGCCACGCCAGGCTGGTTCATGTGAAATTCAACACAGGCAAAAAGGAGTTAATACTCAGAAGGGGATGGTATTGCCTTATCAAGCCTTGAAATCATGCCATCCCTAACACACCCTGACCCTCTCCATGTCTTGTTTTGTTGTGCTTTGAGCCTTTCTCAGGTTGCCTCTTACAAAGCACGGGACAATTACCTTGTGGTATCTTTTTCTTCCCAGCCTCAGCCTCTGTTCACCCTCTTATTGACCCGCTCGCCTCGGGGTCACACCTCACCCGGATACCGTACCCGGCTGGAACCATCCCCAACCCTCTCCTGCCTCACCCTCTACATGAGAACGAAGTGCTGCGCCACCAGCTTTTCGGTGAGGATGCTCACAGGGGCTACTGGTCTCCTCAGCAAGAGCTCCAAGGGGCAGGGTGGCCGTGGGGGGTCACAGGACCAAACTGAGGTCTACGAGACAGAGCTGTGGCCCGACGTAGGGTGGACATACTCTACCAGGGGATGAGCGAGTCCTGCACATGGGCAGGGCTGAAGGGCGGTAGGGTTTTGGGTGAGCTATGGGGCCGTGGGTGGGGATGGAGCTGCTAGGTTAACTGGTTTCTTCTCTGCTTTGCCTCTGGCTGCAGCTGCACCCTACAGGGACCTGCCGGGCTCCCTCTCCGCGCCCATGTCGGCGGCACACCAGCTCCAGGCCATGCACGCCCAGTCGGCCGAGCTGCAGCGCCTGGCCCTGGAGCAGCAGCAGTGGCTTCATGCCCACCACCCTCTGCACGGCGTGCCGCTCCCCACGCAGGAGGATTACTACAGGTGCGTGGACCTGCTGCTTTCTCCGCTGCACCGGGCAAGGAGAGGCCCCTCTGTCCTTATCTTGGAGCTCTGGTGGTGGCGGAGGTGGTGGGGACAGGGAAGCATTGCCCCTGGTGTGGGGTGGCTTGGCTGGAGCCCACACCTGGGAGCAGGGGTGCTTTGCTGCTGGGGCACAGCGGTGGGCTGGCCACCAGGATGGTCCTTCTTGGCAAGGGGCTGTTTGGTGGCTAATCTCATGGGGGGGTCTCAGCTCCTCTGGGGGGTGTGTGGTGGTAAACTTGAGTGTTTCACCCATGCTAATGCAGTTAGGGCAACATTAGGGCTACAAAGATGATTAAGGGATTGGAGCATCTCCCTTATGAGGAAAGGCTCGAAGACTGGGGCTCTTTAGCCTGGAGAAGAGAAGGCTGAGGGGAGACCTTATCAATGCTTATAAGTATCTAAAGGGTGGTTTGAAGGAGGATGGAGCCGGGCTCTTTTCAGTGGTTCCCAGTGACAGGACGAGGGGCAACAGGCACAAGCTGGAGCCTGGGAAGTTCCACTCAAATATGAGAAAAAACTTCTTTACCGTGAGGGTGCCAGAGCCCTGGAACAGGCTGCCCAGGGAGGTTGTTGAGATCTGGAGATCTGGAGATCTTCAAGACCCACCTGGATGCCATCCTGAGTGATGTGCTCTAGGCAGGATGGCAGGGGAGTTGGACTAGATGATCTCTAGAAGGTCCCTTCCACCTCCAACAATTCCGTGATTCTGTGATACCCCTGCCAAAATACCAAACATTCAATGGGGTTGGATGCTTTGGCCAAGACGAGCCTTCACAAGAGCCTGGGGAAGCACGTTGGGGAAGGGAGAGGTACAATGTTGCACCTTTTCAACAGCATCTCCTACCTCAAGGATTTGCCAAGGCTTCCCAAGCCAGCAGCGTGGTCTGGGTCTAGACCCTTTTTGCTCTCTCTCACTCATCTTCTTCCTCTTCTTCACCTTAGCCACCTGAAGAAAGAAAGCGACAAACCCCTTTAAGTGGACTTCTACTCTCGATGTGACATCATCATGTCTTTCTCTCAAGAGGAGCAATCAATCAACCAAATCCTGGGGGAGGGGAAGCTGCGGCATGACACATCCTGATCCCACCACGCAGCCGAGGGGCAAGAGAAGAGGGGACACGGAGCACAGGATGGCATCCTGGGAGCGGAAGGTGGAGGAGGGGGGAGAGCTAAGTGGGGAGGGGGCTGAAAACGCCGCTAAAGGGACGCGAAAAGCCATGGGTACGTTGATTTCGGCAGAGCTCTGAAGGAAGCAGAGTCGGCGTTGCAGGGAGCTGGGACAGACGGAAGACTGAGGTGAATTTCAGCAGCTCTGGCCCTTTGTGGGGTGTTTTTTGGGGAGGGGGGGCGACGGTCGCATTGGATGAGAAGCGCCGAGCATCGCAGGACTTCTTTTCTGCTTCCACCGGGAGGAGGTGCCTCCAAGAAGTAACTCAAAACCCAACAGCGCCTTTTTTTTTTTAGTTTTTTGGCCTTTTTTTTTCATTTCCAAGATGCCTCCTCTCACACCCCCACCACACCACCCTTCCCACCCCCTCTTTTTAGGTGTAAGATAACTGCTTTAGCGATACCAGAAAAGCAACGCCGAAGAACATTGCTTTTTTTCAGACGAGCCCGAGCGGCTCCCCTGTCTCTCCGACATCCCTTCGGATGCCAACATGGCACGACGGGACCCCTCCAGGAGCTCCTGCCTGCGGTGGAGGGGGACCTGTCCCCAACAATCCCTCCGGTGTGTGTGT